CGCCCTTCCAAAACGGTTGGCTCTGCCGCCCAGCAATTGGACTTGCTTCGCCAGTTCACTGGCCTCATGACAAAACACTTCCAGCAAATGTAGACGGCTGCATCCGTTCGAGATCACTGGATCACACCTTGCTAGACTGGCTTCCTTCGAGATTTGCTGTACCAGTGCATGGAATTTATGGGACAGACTGTGAGTCTTACCTGGACTGACATCTTTTTGGCACATGGACGATACATGTATATCAGCTTCCTCGAAGGAGTCTAGCCATGACGAGCTCATGAAGCCCGGAGGTGGGCAATGATCTCCTGCATCGCACCTTCGATGGTCTGAAGGCGGGTGTCCATGGCTGCCATCTCCGTGTATAGATCTCTGGCTGGATCTCGATCTCCTGAACTGGTTCCCAGGATTCGTCCTCAGCAAGATCTGCCAAGTCCTGTGGGGTCACTTCCTGAATCGGCTTGGCCTTGGCCTTGCTCTTGATAGCCAGATGAAGTGGCCTCTGACTTGGTGATGGCTGCAGGTCTTGACTGTTCAGACCCAGTTGGTGCTCGGCATAAGTCACCCTCAGTGAGATGTAGTGGATGAACTTCTGATGGTTGACCTTGTTCGACGAGTGGTAACTTGCCTGGAACCACTTCACATACTTGCCCTCCTTTTCCCACATCTCCGAGTAGGTCCGACCGAGATGGGCTGATCCGAAATCGATCTTGGCTTGGCCCATTTCGTCCAGTGATAGGAGCTTGAAGGCTTCGAGCTGATCGAGGGCTTCTTCCTTCTTTGCTTCCCCCATGACACGTGCCAAGCGGGCACTCAGAGCGGCTGCTTCGGAGGTCGGCATGATAGTGATGCGGCACAGGTGAACGAATGGGATGGTCACACGTGTGTGATTGCACAGATCCGGTCTTGAACCCAAAACGGATGACACCGGGTTGGACCCCCCCTGGAACCGATTCGAATGAGACTTTCTCACCCCCGCGAACACTCGGACGTTCGTTTGGTTTCTTTGTGTTCGTATGGGTCTTTGTTAATTCGGGCATGGCGGCTTCGAACTGTTGGATTCTGCTTGTTCTGTCCTCACCTGAACGTTCTGTTTCATCATGGTCTTGGTTTCCGACTGCATTTGTCCAGGCTTCTGGACAGAGACACTTGGCAAGCTTTTGCAATTCAAAGTGGCGAAGGTCTCGGCAGGTTCAGCTTCGGCATCTTGACTGGTGGGTGTGATCAGATCATTTAGATCAACTAAAAACAAACCCTTGGCATTCAGCTGAATTGGAATGTTGCGCTTCAAGAGAGTGCTTTTGATCACTTCACCAGCTATATCTACGGTGGCTCCGATGGCTCGGAGCAGAGTATTCGACAGCAGGAAAGGTGTCTGGCCTGGCACTATGGCAATCTTGAGCTTCAGCGGTCCGATTGGGACAACGAGTGCATGCTTGCTTTCAAGTGTCCCTTGATTCCCAAACCGAAAAACCACTGAACAACGACACCTTTGGACCTGCTTCCGAACCTCTGGCCTTAGTGCGGCTAGGAGATTGGCTACGAAACCGCTTCCTATGACGGTCTTAGTAGCGCCTGTATCTACGATTCCCAGGGCATCGCGAGTTGAAAAGCTCGAGAATGCACTGGCTTCGGTGTCATGCATCGACTTGGCTTCAGGTGATTGGGCGGTGCTAGCAAACGCACTCTCTGGCAAGCTAGTCCTGACATCAAAATTCTCACACTCGGTGATCATTTCCCCTTTGTGGGCTAAATCAATGATTTCCCCTTCATTGGTCTCCCACAAACCCTTCAGAACACCGGTGTCCCTTGATTCACAAACACACAAAACTTGTTTCGTATTCTCTTGAGTGGCGTTGAGCGTCTCTTCGGTCAGCTCTGGCAAATCCATGAACTCCAGTGGCAGCGCGTCCTGCTCATCATTCACTGTCACCAGTGTAGGAGCAACAGCTGTCGATAGGACCGACTGAGATCCACGTTGTGGGCATTCAGCCTTCCAATGGCCTTTTCGGCCACAAATCCTGCAGCTGCTCTCCATGATCCTCTGCTGGAGGCTCTTTCTATTGCCAGAAAACTTTGAGGAGTAGGGGGATCGCTTTCCTTTTTCACCCCCTTTCCCTTTTCCTTTGCCTTTGTTCTGACTTGTTGGCCAGAACCCACGGCTTTTGAAGCGCTCTGACAGGCGGCGACGGGCATCCATGTATGATGATTGTGTCAATGCTAGATCTTCGTTGTCTTGCACTGCGTCCAACATTGTGGATTCATACTCCATGATCATGGCGGCGTCCTCGTCACCATCATTTGCAAGACTCTCAATCCATTCTTCCTCGGTCCAATCATCGAGATTGTAGGTGGGCTCGTCGGGTGCTTGGTCGTGACCATCAGCTTCTTGAGCAATGAACGCATTGGCCTCATAGGTTTTGGTCCTTGGATTGTTCTGTTTTCCGCTGGAGTGGACCTCATGGAAGAATCGACTCCCCAGGAGCTTCAGATTGGATACCACCTCTCTGTACTCCAGTGAACCCTGCGATTCAACAATCAGTCTCTTCTTGTCTTCTGAGCTCAGGGCTGAGTTGCGAAGCAAGATGTATGCACGAAACTCATCCATGCCGACCTTCATGCTCAGCAACTCTTCGAATTGATGATCGTGCCGAGCTAGATAGCTCTCATGGGTCTCGTCGGCTCTTTGGACCGTGCTGTATATTGCACGCTCAAACCTTTCAAACTTGTCCTCCAATCAGGAATTTCCCCAAATCCCTCCAAGGGCCTCCACAATGGCCCTCACTCCCTCCAAACTTCCAACACGCAGCTTTGTTGGGTCCAGCCTTGCAACTCTCTGAAAGGCTGATCCCTCACATTGCAGTGCAACTCGTGGGGCAAGCAGGTGTAGTTGTTCTGGAGGCCATAGTGACGCCAGGAACTCTACTTTCCGCGACCATTCAGTGAGGTCTGTCTCCCCAGGCTTGAAAGATGGGACCTGGCTCCATGGGAGATTGCTCAATCCTCCTGAGGAGGAACTGGAGCCTGCTGAATCACCTTCCGGTGGCATTGGGCTGTTTCCTCCCTGGAAACCGCAGCTCAACAACTCTGTGACAACACCACCAAATCAATGTGCAACCTGTCGACTGCCTTGCGGCCAACCAATGAATCAACCCAACTCACGCAACCACGCAGTCAACAACAACCAAGCACAAGGGTCAGGTGTTGTCTGGAGCTTTAGCGGTAGCTCCGCTACCAATGTGATTGACACAAAGGTAGCAACAAAAGATCCTCCTTCCCTCGCACAGCCGCGTGCGTTTTCCACTCACAGCTCACCTGAAGGTTGGTACGAACGGTCGGGCGCCTCGCCCTGCAGTGTCCTCACTGCTTCTATGGCTCAGGTCACGGGTGACCCACCCTACACCACCCTTGCGGCCTCGTACACTCGTGGCTTCGGACGTGAACACACCTGAGTGGGTCAAGACTGGTTCCTCAGTGACCGAAAGGTTCGAAATTCACAATAATTGATGATATATGATGTGTCCCATCGGGTGCAAGACCCCAGGTGGCAGAGTTCTGGGGAAGGCCTTCTGAAGGAAACTTGAGAGACGGCAGTTTCTGGCAGCTTGTGTTCCCCAGAGATAGTAGGTGCAGGCCATCGCTAGTAGGTTGGAGGCTATTGCTATTAGGTGCAGGCCATCGCTAGTAGGTTGGAGGCCATTGCTACTAATTCCAGGTGTTTCCCCATCGATTGTATTCTCCAGAGACGAAAACCTCTGGAGCAGAACCTGGGGCCAGTGTTCCGATCTAAGGCCATACATCGTGCCATCAATGGCAAAGTTGCAATCCGAGAAAACGAGACAAACACGTGCGCACTTCATTTGAAAAACCGCTCACAGGCGGCTTCAAGCATTCTCAATCTGCCAAGAACAGGTGGAAAATCACGGTGACTTTGAAGTCCTGACTGAGCTGATTATGACTGTTTATTGGAAAAGGCTGCCTCCAAGCTCCAAATCCAAAAATCATCAGGATCCACATAGCTCTGTTCAGTTCATAGGTTTGGTGCTTAATTAGGGAGGTTTGCAGAGTGATTATGTACCTTCAGGAGAGCTACTTTCGGAAGGATGCACAACCATTTGAATGCCCAGCTGGCCTTGTCCCGAACCCCCAAAAAACTGGCCACTGTTCTTCACCCGAGGCACATGTCCTGAGTGGCCAGAGAACGTTCCCGAGCTAGCTCCAGACGTGTCCATGGCGCACGGGGGACTGGCGCTCCAGGCAACCAGATCCGAAGAAGGAAGTTCTGTCTTGCAATTGTGGTGATCTGTCTTGCGCATTAACTTCACGAATCATCATTATGATTTTTCACCTAATGACCATCAAAGACCCAATGTTTCATTCAAATACCCCGATTGATCTTGTCCAGTCCCAAATGATACTGGAGATGATCGGAGATGTTCCATTCTTGTTGATCACACCTTCTTCCTACCCTTCACCAGCGATGGGCCATCGCTGGGCCATCTGAGGCCATGTCACCAATGTCACGCGCATCTCGGTTCGGATATCATTATTTTTTTTTTTCGAAACCCGACATGTGGGTCGGACTGGACTGTTTTTTTCTGTTGATAGGATCAAACAACGTGCCTGCAAACAGTGCCTGCAGATTCCTTCCAGGTTGGAGGACTCACGTGAACTTTTGGGATGTCCAATGACCTGTGAAACCGTGTTTTCACGTCGACAAAAATGAAGAGGCCGTCCCAGGTTTGAATTGCTAAGATCTCCACGGCTTGCTTCCCAAACCAACGCCGGAACGCTCCACCTTTGCTGGCCAAACTGGACATGATTCGAAGAAAGGGAACTCTTTCGGCGCCGAAGTGAAGCTGCTTGAAAAAGGGCTCTATAGGATGCTTTAGGGTTTTGTGTGTTGACATCTCCATTTTCAGGTCGGCAGCACGACAAAACCATACAAAACCGTTCCAAAGCGGTCCCCACACACAACCTGCTGCGAACAAAGGCTCCCCGTCCTCGCAAGAAGGTGCGCTCATTCGTGACCGACACTTCGCCAAGCCTTCCATGCGTGGAAGAAAGTGACTGAAGTGTTCGCTGAGACTGTGGATCCAGGTATAGGGTTTGTTGAAGAACGCCAAAGACTGCGATAAAATATAGGAAACCAGTTCCAAAGACTTCAACCAACCTCGCAGCCCTGGTCCAGGTACCTGGATCTCCACTGCGTCGGTTTTTGCATTCACAGATATACAGACAGGACTGGCATGGACTGGCTTTGATTGAAAAGAGGCCTACTTGAGAGGCAGATGTTCCACACATGGAGTGTCTAAGAATGGTATTTGGTGTGCAAAGTCTTCTCGCCAAATGGCGAAAACAACAAGCTGTTGCTCATGGTTGGGTCTGCCATTTGTACCGCTCGGGAGGTGACGGAACTGTCCCAGCAAGGGACTGGAAGAGTTATGTATACATGGGTAAATGGAATACATATATGTATATTGACAATCAAATGTTGTTGATCGTTCACGGTGTTGGCATCAAGCTTTACTGCCAGGACTCTTGTACCTCTTCACGGTGTTGGCTTATGGTTTCAAGGACTTACAACCATGGCTTACACCATGGCTTTCGACTTTCAAAGCCGGCCCCCCACACCCAGCCGCTGCACGCCCTTTTTGACATCACAAGCTATGGCCCTCCGATACGCCGCACGCCCTGGATGGAGGGGGTTGGGGCCATAAAGCCTTGATGAGGAAGGAACAGGTAGTGAGCAAAAGCAAAAAGCCAGCGAAGATGACTGATTGAATCTCTGGTGGCAGCTTCCACAGAAACAAGATCAGGTAGAATCCTAGCTGCAGATCGGTTCTGGACATGGAGTTCCGGCTTGATGATTATGCCCTCGTTATATTTAAAAGTTATAAGCTAAGAGAAACAAGCAATGCGTTTTTAGTTTTTGTAAGCCCAGGCATCCCACAATGAGACCCAGTAGAGGCATCGACATCAGCATCACTTGCCTTGGTAAGCTTTGGCTGCGGCAAAAAAAGGGTTGCGTCAGCCATACCGCTACTGCTCAAGGAGAAGTTCGTTTCAGGACACCTTGGGAATCCTTGGGTTTTGTGTCTGTTGCAGGACTTTCTCCCCGATTCTAAGCAAATGGGTTTTGGAGTCTGTTGGGCTGAATCGGATGTCCAACATATGCATCAACCTGGCCCCATGAAGGGACTCACGCAAAGAAATGCTGGAGTTGCAAAGGGGTGGTGTTTAGTCCCATCCAGTCAGTCAATAATGGGCACCCCGCCTTCCTCCCAAGTTCGGCACCCCTTTGTGATTCCTGGCTGAGAGAAATGATATGGAATGACCTAGTATGCAGTGTGACAGAGTCATACAGTTCACCGATGTTTTTGAAGTGGATTTGCTGTGACGATCTGAAACATGAGAAATGTAGAAAACAAACCATTGTGGAGGGAGAAACTCTCCTCGAGGTGAGCCTCGCTCAACCATCGGCTTAGCTCTAGACTCATGTCCATGTGCAGACCACAAAGTCGGGCCAAGTGTGTGTTGCTTTTTTGAGTGCGTATTTTAAGTGACTTCAATATAGGGAGACCTCCTGGCCCTGGCTGGGTAGACTGGTCTATTTTCCCCTTTCCGGGGGGGTTGAACTGGGAGGTCTTCCTATTTGAGCTACACACCCATGAAACATTACGAGTACATAGTGTCTAACCCGCAGCCCGCCGCTCGTCCGGAGAACTCTGTTTCGTCGGGCCTTCCGTGTAGCTCATGTTTTCGTCGACTCAGAACATCGTTTCGTCGGGTGACCTGGATGGGTTCTGTTCATCTGATCTTCGACCAAACATCTGGGGAGGGTGTGGATGCTACTCTCCGACTTGCTGGGCACGGAGAAGAACGCTGCGCAGGGCTTTTTTGGAGCTCCAACGCCTCTCTGGGAAGGAAAACGAGGTGAAAGAGGAGGAACCAGTTCCACCCCAACTCAACAGAGCCCTTGTTGTGGGAGGGGTCGCAGTTTTCAAGCCGAAGTGGCAAATTGAGAAGCAGCTCTCTTCGAAAAGGCTTGGCCTCTTTTGAGTAGCGCCGCGACAAGAAGACCACGTAGTCCACAAAGAGTGGATTCAGCAACAACCAACAAGAGAAGCCATCCTGGGCTGGTATGGCAGAGTTACGCCACCATGGACCATGGATCCTTTTCTATATGGGGTAGATGTAATGATTCCAGTCCCATAGGAGGGGACGCTCCGGGGTTTGGGCAGAATTCATCCACAAATCACGTGGACCATATCATAGCTGCTAGCACATCGTAACACTCCTTTCCCCTGAAAAAAATAAACGCGTGTTCGATCTGTGCCAAGTTGAGACACGGTCGGAAAAAAAAAAAAAAAAAACATTGAACAAAAATATCATGTTTTTGTTGTTTCTTGAAGTTTGTCTCAAAACTTGGCGACCACCGACCACTGATTATATAAACCATCGTTGATCAACATCATTAGGGTCAAGATTGAAAGCTTTTTGACTGAACTGTTGATTGAACAAAAACAATTACATCAGAAAACCAAACGTTGCTGGAATCCGGTCCGATGGCAGGAAACAACAGAACCGGCTACTATGATCTGCGTGATGAGCGATTGCTGGTCGTGATCTTCGGTGTTCTCCCACAACCTCGCAGCCGTAACAGCCCTTCATCCCAAGCAGACTGAACTTCATCACCAACCAAATGATATCAAATGATATATCAATATAAATTAGAGAGCGGGTGGTCACGGGGCCTGGGTTTTGGTTTTTCCAAAATTTTAGGTAAATGCTTCAGTGGCAGCCCCTCTCCATATAAACACACATATAATCTATTCCTGCTCTGTCTATATGAACAAATATATTATGTATTCCTGAGTCAGGGTCATGTTATTGTTTTGGAAGCAGCAATCAGTCATTCAGATGGTTTTGAACTAGACAAAGGAACAAAGCAGGCCATAAAAGTGTTTATTTTAACAATTGTCCTCTAGACCTCTGCTTATAATTATGCTTAGATTTGGAAAGGTTGTATATAGACGCTTTTATGTTACAAAATATTCTCTATAGATCTCTGCAGATAATCATTTTTAGATTTAATCACTATATAGAAACCTTGTATGTTAAAAGCTTTCTTCTAGATTTCTGCGAGTTGAAATCCCATATATGTGTGTTTTCATGCAAGGAAAGCTCTTGAAAGAATAATTTGTTTATTGATATATAGCATGTTTAAATTGACATGACCATTTGCAGAGATCTAGAGGAAAGCTTTTGAAATGAAAGTTTTTATATATTTTTTATTGTAGAAATGATCATCCCCAGAGATCTAGAGGGAAGCTCTTGAATTAGAAGCGTGCACATAAAACATTCTTAATATGTCTATATATTATCTCCAATGATTACTGTAAATAAATAAATCTATCTGTTTACTCCAAACAATAGTTGTTGCCTTGTTCCCAGCACTCCAGTGCAAAAAATACTGTAAAAAGACAGGGTTTTGTAGCATGTGTTTTCTTAAACTAAATAGACTAGAGCTAGAATAGAATTAGGTAGAATTAAGTTAGATTTGAGCTAAGATGGAACTGAATTAAAACCGAATTTCAACTAAATTTGTATTGAACTATAACTATAACCTATTTGAAATTAGATGAGAGCTGAAATAGAAAGGAGTTGGAATTAAAATTAGAAGTTCGGCAGAATAAGATGTAAAACGCTTGAGCTACAAGATGCACAAGTCGAGGAGGCTTCGAAATTACAAAGCCGAAGCAAATGCAACAAGCATTGAATTAGAACTACAGCTCACACAGATTCACAACAGTTTCATGTAAATTGGAAGGTGTCATTACAGTTTCATGTCAAGCTGATTGGACATGCAATTGGCAACCACATTGATACCAATCAGAAGTTAATGCACAGACTTGTACATGGAGATTTCGACAAGGACAAAGGGAGTGTTGGGCTCAGACGCTTTCATTGTAAGAGCAAAGAACATATGCCTTTAGGTGAGACTTAGGCTCACATGCTTGAAGGTTGAACCAAATAGCAATAACACAGAGATTGACCTAAATAGGAAGTCCCACGAGCTTCTGGCAATTGACCTGGCCCAGGGCTTCGGCGAAGGTAAGGGCGCCGTCTTGTCCGCCGAGATCACGATTGAACCCATCACCGCGGCCCAATTCCAGATCAGCCATGTGGACACAGAGGAAAAGCCAACAAGACACAAAGATGACGAAGATGTAAAAAGCTTGAGCGACAAGATGCGTCAACCGAGGAGACTTTGAAATTAGACAGCAGAAACAACATCAAAAAGCACATAATTACGCTTGCAAAGATTCCCAACAGTTTCATGTAAAGGACAGTGTCATCGCAAGTGCATGTCAAGCTGTTTGGAAATGCAAGTGGCAACCACATTGATACCAGTCAGCAGTTAATGCAAGCAGACTTGTATATAGAGATTTGGACAAGGACAAAGGGAGTGTTGAGCTCAAACGGTTTCAGATGTAAGAAACAAGAACAAATGCCTTGAGGTGAGAAGTAGGCTCAGATGCTAAACCAAAAAAACAAAAAACTTGGGTAAAAAAGTCTGAGAGACTCTTGGCTGGACCCCCCTCTTAAGAAAGAAAAAAACAAAAAAAATAACCTTGGGAAAACCAAAAAAAACATCTGGGGAAGTCTTGAGGAAAGGGGATCCAGCCAAGAGTCTCTCAGAATTGTTTTTTGTGTGTTTTCCCAAGGTGTTTGTTTTTCTAGGTTGTTATTGGTTTTCCCAAGGTTTTGTTTTGTTTTTCTAGTTTTTGTTTTTTTACTGCAAATTATTCAACGTTTTTTGTAGTTTTGATTCTACTTTTTTTTTGTGATGTTGATTGTATTTGTGAAAAGTTGTTTACAAATTCAGAAAACCAAAAACTCAGGCCCCATGGCCACCCCTTCTGATAAATTACGATATATATATATATATATCGTGATATATCATGATATATATATATATATTTAATAAATGAGATCAAAACCAGCAATTGCATACTTACACAAAAACATATATATATATAT